CTCACTCTGTCACCCAGGTTGGAGTGCGGTGGCACAATCTCAGTTCACTTCAACCTCCACCTCTCAGATTCAAGTGATTCTTCTGCCTCAGCCTCCCAAGTAGCTGGGACTACAGGCGCATGCCACGACGTCCAGCTAATTTTTGTATTTTCAGAAGAGACAGAGTTTCACCATGTTGGCCAGGATGGTCTCGATCTCTTAACCTCATGATCCTCCCACCTCAGCCTCCCAAAGTGCTGGGATTACTGGCGTGAGCCACCGCGCCCAGCCACCAGCTCATTTTTATTCTACTCTAGAAGGTAGGTAGAGTAATATATTAATTTCCTAGGGCTGCTGTGAAGTACCACAAACTGGAAGGCTTAGACAACAGACATGTACTGTCTCAGAGTTCTGGAGGCTGGAAGTCCAAGTGTAAAGTGTCAGCAGGACTGATTCCTTCTTAGGGCTGTGAGGGAGAATCTGTTGCTGACCTCTCCCCTGGCTTCTGTGATTCGATGAACTGGAGAAGCTGTGCTCTGGGCCAGCCTCTCCTCCCATCTCAGCCTTCTCTTGTCTTGATTCTCCCCCTATAGCTTTTCCTAAATCCCATAAGTATGGATGGGGCTGGCATGATTTGGTGTTCCTTAGCTTGTAGAAGCATCACTCCCATCTCTGCCTTCTGCCTCCCAAGGCATTCTCCCTGTCCCCTTTATATAAGAACACAGTCATATTAGATTAGCACCCACCCTAATTACCTCACTTGAACTTGACCATCTGCAAAGACCCTATTTCCAAACATTCACATTCATGGGTCCTGGGGGTTAGAACTTCAACATCTATTTTTGGAAGGGGGCCAGAATCAACCCATAACAAGTACTTGTCCTCATTTTCCCATTTTACAAAAAAGGAAACTAAAACAGAGAGTCTCACTCTGTTGCCCAGGCTGGAGTACAGTGGCACAATCTCGGCTCACCTCTGCCTCCTGGATTCAAGCAATTCTTGTGCTTCAGCCTCCCAAGTAGCTGGGGCTATAGGCATATGCCATGCCGGGTTAATTTTTTATATTTTTAGTAGAGACAGTATTTCACCATGTTGGCCAGACTGGTCTCGAAATCCCGACCTCAAGTGATCCGGCCGCCTCAGCCTCCCAAAGTGCTGGGATGACAGGTGTGAGCCACCACATTCAGCCTCCAATGATGGCATTTTGAATATTTAAACCCAAATTCCTTAGAACTGAATAATTAATACAATGTGGGTTTCTACTTGCTACACATTTGGAGACATTGTCACACATAGCTGATTTTCCTTTCATTTTGTTCTTTCACCCGTCCCCCCTGATACTCCTGGGCCTTCCACCCTTTCCCCATCCTCATGCTCCAGTTCTGAATCTGCACGCCAGGATGCTGCCTTCACCACCCTGAGTCTCTACTGCAGATTCAGATTTTGTTGGCATTTGTATTTTCCTCTCCCTGGCAATAAAGGTTGGAAAGCATGGAACCAGGCACTGCCTTGGTGTGTTTGAGAACATAAGAAATGATGCTATGTAGGTTTATGGGATGGCCCATGAACCTGTAAGCTGTGACTACATTGGCACTTAACAAACCTACCAGAACAAATAGGTCTGAATTAGCCTTTTTTGTTTGTTTGTTTGTTTTTTTGAGACGGAGACTCACTCTGTCACCCAGGCTGGAGTGCAGTGGCATAATCTCGGCTCACTGCAACCTCTGCCTCCCGGGTTCAAATGATTCTCCTGCCTCGGTCTTCCGAGTAGCTGGGATTGCAGGTGCCCACCACCAAACCTGGCTACTTATTTTGTATTTTTAGTAGAGACGGGGTTTCACCATGTTGGCCAGGCTAGTCTTGAATTCCTGACCTCAAGTGATCGCCCCCGCTCAGCCTCCCAAAATGCTGGATTGCAGGTGTGAGCCATTTTGCTTGGCCTTAATTAGCCTTCTCCTTCCCTTTTGTCAACAATACCACCATAACTCTGAACAGTATAGAAATTCCTCTTTTGTAGATGCACCTAGAACTTTCTCTAGAATAGCTACAAAGCCTTCTTCCCTTAAGCAGGTGTTTAATTCCTTGGAAGGGCAAAAAATGTACTCCACGTCTGAGGAATAAAGCAGGTTGACCAAACTGGGGGAGCCCAGGTTTCATGAAACCCTATTTCACAGGACACATTTTCTCCCATGTCCTACGAACCAGCTCTGAGCGCACTTCCAGAAGGGCAAGTTTCCAGTTCGTTCCGGGTCACTTAATGAAATCAGAGATCTTCTTCCAGGCAGTTTCTCTGAAGACCAACACTCATGCAGACATGGACACTTCAGGACTTTTGTTTAAGGACCATCTTGCCATTCCATAGCTGTATCTCATCTGTCATATGCAGATGCCATCTGAGAGCAGAGCTGAGCTGGCAGCAGGTGACAAGCCACCAGTACTCAACAAAAACATCCCATCAAAATTACACAGGAAACTTACAAGTCAATTCACAAGCTCTAAAACACCCAAACTATCCCAGTCCAGAAGCAGCACTGAGAACAAACTGGAAAAGACAAAACTTCCTGACTTTAGCTTGGGTGGAAGAGGGAGGGTGCACTGGTTGGGCAGGCACAATAGCAGTGTCTTCGTCATCATGGGTCCCCTCTCTCCCTGCCACAGAACGTGCTGGTGTCGGAGCAGTTCATGAAAACGTTGGACGGAGTGTACGCTGTTCACCCGCAGCTGGACGTGGTGTTCAAGGGAGTACAAGGCCCCTCTGCCAAGAACACCATCTCCTTGTTGACAAACCCCATGAAACTGATCCAGGTGAGCTCCTGCCTTCCTCTCAGGGCCTCTGGGGAGCCCTGGAGAAAGCTGGCCTTTGACTCCAAATCAGCTTCCAGACTTTCCCTCCCCAACAGTGTCTGTACAACCCTCTCTGATAAGGAATGTCTCCGTGCCTTGGACTGCAGAATTCTCTGTGGCTACTGGATCCCTCAGCAGTGCTTCCTGATCCCCAGAGAAAGGGAAGAGCTGAGATCTAGCTGAAGGGGGTGGGTGGACAGGATGGATTCTCCCACCCAGGTTCCTCCACCTGCTAACGTATAACCAAGGGCAAGTCACTGAAGCTCTCTGGGTCACTTCTTTTCACCTGCAGAATGGGCACAACAGTAGCCACCTCAGTAGGGTTGCCTGGAAGATCAAATTATGTAAAATGCATGAAGTGCTTAGAAGAATGCCTGGTCTAGAATAAGCACCTGCTTGGCCAGGTACGGTGACTCACACCTGTAATCCCAGCACTTTGGGAGGCTGAGGCGGGCAGATCACCTGAGGTCGGGAGTTCAAGAACAGCCTAACCGACATGGAGAAACCCATCTCTACTAAAAATACAAAATTAGCTGGGTGTGATGATGCATGCCTATAATCCCAGCTACTTGGGAGGCTGAGGCAGGAGAATTGCTTGAACCCAGGAGGCGAAGGTTGCACTGAGCCGAGATCAAGCCATTGCACTCCAGCCTGGGCAACAAGACTGAAACTCTGTCTCAAAAATGATAATAATAATAATAAGCACCTGCTTTTTTTTTTTTTTTTGAGACGGAGTTTCACTCATGTTACCCAGGCTGGAGTGCAATGGCACGATCTCGGCTCACCGCAACCTCCGCCTC